CTTAGGCGCAATCGTGTCAACAGCCCGGGTCATCTCCTTATTCCATAGGGTGACCTGAGCTTCGACAGGAGCGCCGACCATATCAGACGGATAATCCCCCAGAGCATTCAGGAATCCATCTGGATCCATTAGTCTCCGAGGGCGGATCATCTTAATAGATCCCCCACCCTTGCAGAGCATTAGTAGGGATTGTGAACAACGCACACATACATGTGCATACACACAATCATTCAAGTAACAGAACCAGCAACCTGCATTGAGAATGTAAGCCATGCACCCATTACTCCATACTTACTGACAAATTGCATTTGTGGAGAAGAGAAAAGACCCATTTTCCAGCTGCAGAACAGGCAGACATGGCCTGGTGAGGAATGGAACAACAGGAGCTGCCAAAAAGGAACACACAGTATTCAGAGGTATAGTTAATATACTGTATTCTAAAAGAAGATAGTTCTACTCAGTACAAAAAGGGGCTGGCAAACCCCACACTTATGCAATCCCTTCTACTGCTTCTACCAGAATCCAAAGATCCAGTTAACTGGAGTCACAACAGAAAACAGTGAATTAAAAATTTCTGAGCACAAGGATTTGTTCCAAGTAGCACAAATGAACTGAATTCACAATCCTTCAGACAAAAGTACACTCGGGGGTCACACCCTACCACTCCCACAGCTTTCATCCCTTTAGGTGTGTGTGTTCTGGGCAGTCAAGTCAGAACCAACTTAGAGCAACCCTAACAGGGCTTTCAAGGTAAGTGAGATACCAGTTCCAGACCCTCAATGAGTTTCCATGGTCAAGTGAGGATTTGAACCCTGTTCTCCAGAGTCCTAGTCCATCACTCTTATCCACTACACCACACTAGGAATCTTCAAAACTGTATAGCAAGCCAAGTTTCAGAAGGTGAAGCTTTATTGATTAATTATTTTTGTTTATATGCTGTTCTTCTATACAAAGACAACCAGAACGGCACACACCACAATAAAATAACAATCAAGCAATAACATGCATTGCATGAATGGTAAAAATACAAATCAAACAACCTGAAGCCTACCAAACAACTTGATCCTATATACACATAATGAATGCTTGCCATAGAAATGGTGCAACTGCAGTTTCCTAATGTCCAAAAGCCTGCTGAAACCATTCCGCCTTGCCTCCTCTCCCGAATCCCTCCAGAGATGTCATGCTTTGCAGCGACTCAGGAAGAGAAACTGCCATAGTCATGTCCAAGAAAAGGAGGATCGGCCAGAGAAAAGTGACAATCTCAGCAGAAGAAAAGGAAGGAAGGGTGTGTGTAAGGATGAGTGGGAATGACCTGTCACGGGTAGGATCGTAACTTTTAATATGGGATTTAGTACACCCAGAAAAAACGATCACATCCTCCTTCTGTATTCATCACCACAACCACTGATGGGGAGGCTGGAGCTGTCCAATCATCCCACAGCCCCCATTTGCATATAAAAAAGGGAAGATAAAGCCTCACCCTTGATCCTGGCTAAATCATCCTGACACAACAAGACAAGTGTCCTTTAAAATGAAAATGACGAATGAACAAGATGGATATAACAAGCGGAAAAACGGAGAGCATCCTTAAAGAACTGGGCTGTGTGGCTCATAAGTGGTGACACCACATAGACCCACATCACGCCGGTTCTGAAAAATGTACACTGGCTGCTGGTTGCTGCTCAGGCCCAATTCAAAGTGCTTACTTTGACATATAAAGCCCTAAACAGCGCAGGACCTGGTTACATAAAGGACCACCTTCTTCCATATGGGCCTGCCCATCCTCTAAGATCAGGCCAGGAGGCCCTTCTGAAGGTGCCATCCCTGAAAGAGGTGAGGGGGATGGCATGTCGAAATAGGACCTTCTCGGCTGTTGCCCCCCCAACTTTGGAATGCCCTCCCTATTAGAGATCCGCCTGGCTCCAACACTTCTGGCTTTTCGGCGCCAGGCAAACACCTTTCTGTTTAGCTAGCATTTCAATTAAATAGTATTCTTTAGCTGGCCATATGAGCAGCAGGATTTATTAATATTGATGTTTTAATGATTGTTTTTAATGTATAGGATATTATTAGAATATTGGCTATTTTCAATTGTTTTAATATTTTTAAAGTTTTAATATTGTTGTACGCCGTTTATCATTACCAGTGGCCGCTCAGAGACCCCTGGAAATGCTAAAAAAAATCTTGTGAATTAAATTAAATCAATAAATAAAGTGGCAACTGACTTAGTTCACTTACACTTTCGTTTTTATTATAAAGCAGTGTTCTGGTGTTACAACTATTTTTTTTAAAAAAAATTCTCGCAAGAGGGGCCAGGGAGGAAGACTGCGGTGTAACCAGGAGGCAAACTGCGGGGTGGAAGAGACAATATTCCCAATAAACCCAGCTGGGGACCCTCCAAGGATTTCTGGGCAGGGGTGGCTTTACACCACCTAGCAGACACTCACCGTCTTGCGGGAGCCACTGGAGCTCCACCGGGGCGCCCGTGGCTTTGGCGGCTGCCAGCACCTTCAGCCCTCCGGGGCTGCCTTCGCTGAGATGCAGCTTCATGCTTCGCCCTTTTTCAGCCACGCTTCTCCCCTGTCCAACTGATGCAACCAAGCCGGTCCCGGCTTATGAGGCGCCGCCGCCGTCCCCCTGGCGCTCCACGCCTCTTCCACTCTCACGTCAACCGGGGATAGGGGGCGGCGGCGGCCCCCAAAGCCCGCCTTCTCTCCTCTGTCCGTCACACGCCCGTTTGAAGAAGGGTTGGGTTCTATACCTCCACGGGCAAGCCTTGCCCCTCCCTAAAACTACACATCCCGGCATACCTCGCGCACTTCAGGGAAAATTGTGAAAGGGGGCGGAGAAAGGAAGAAGGGGAAGTGACGTAAGCAAAAATTGCTTCTGAAACCGCTTACGGGGAAATGGCAGGTACCGTCAGAAATGGCTCGATGGTGTCCATTGAGTTCAACGTCACAAGTTAAATAAACTTTCGCTTAATTACACTGAAAGAAATCTAGTAGTTTTTTAAAATGCGTCTCAATATTTTTGCTCCCCCTAGATATTTCTTTGTTCCCTTTTAATTTTATCAGGACGATTAAATTGCATTCATTCCAGTAGGTCTTCGTTGTTGTTGTTTAGTCGTTAAGTTGTGTCCGACTCTTCGTGACCCCATAGACCAGAGCACGCCAGGCCCTCCTGTCCTCCACTGCCTCCAAATTAAACCATAAGAATAATAAGTTATTTGCTGCATGTCATTATGATGATGCAAAAACATGGGACCTCAGGTGCAGATTCTTTTTGTATGATGATGATGAGGATGGCATGGAAAAGCATTCTCACATCTCATCTGTGCCTGTGGATTGAACTACAGAAATCAGAGACCCTTCACTGCATTGCTTTGCAGTGGTGCAAAAACATGGATCCCAAACACACATTTTGATGAAGCCACATTATTTTTGCTTGGGATCCTCCTCAAATCATCAAATTATAGATCCCATCTGTATCCACAGATTAAATTATACAAATCTTTAAAACACACACACACACACACACAAAGAAATTCACCTGCTCTCTTGCCTCACTTGCCCCTGCTCTCATTTGCACACCCACTCCCTTGAGCTTCTCAAGTCTTTGATACTTCTCTGGTGGTATTGTTTGGGATCCCACTTCTCCCTGGATAGCTCTTCCCCTATTTTCTTAAATAAATAAAAATAAATAAATCACAGGCTTAGAATTAGCTTCTTGTTAGAGCCACAGGCACCCTGGACTGATCATACTGGACAGGAACAATGCCATTTGTTGTTCTCATGCTGTCAAAAAAACATGCTGCTTTGCATGCTGATTTTCCAACAACACAATAACTGTTCCTTCCCTAAGCTATTCTGCCATCCTGTTCCTGACACCCAGCTGAAGCAAGCAGAAGTTCTCTTTCCTTTGCTGGAAATCTTGCCTTAGTCCTATTTACCCCACCCTTCCTTCTGCTCAGTTCTCCGGGCATAAGTTTATGGGTTTTGACCATGGCCTCAGAGGCAGTGGAAGTGACTATCCATTGCCAGCCTCCCAACAAGTACTGTAGCTTGGCTGCAAGATGATGATCAGTGTGGGCAGTGCTGTTGGCCAGTGCTTCATCCAGAATCTGGCTGCCGTGGGTGACCCATCCAAGCAGTTCACCTTTAATGGCACATCTTACATCAGCCAGAACATGGAGCAGCGTTACAGTGAAATTGCCTACCTACTCATAGAGGTGAGTGGAACTGACTGCAAAGTATGGGGATTATTTCCAAACCAGTATTATAAATGCCATAGTAGTGAGAAGAGTACGTACCTATGCAAGGCACTTTATATATCTAGGACAAGTGGCTACTAGGGGGTTACTTACCCACAAATTTTAAAATCAACAAGGGCTGAGTCAAAAATGTCTATACAGTAGTAGTACCAAGAAATGCTGATGTGTTTGAAGACAGAGTTAGAGAATCTTTGGTTCTGCGAATGTTTGGACTTCAGTTCCCAGACGTCCCACCCAACATTGCCAGTGGAAAAGATTATGGGAATTGCAGTTCACAATTTCTAGAGGGCTGAAGATTGCCCCCTTGTTTACCCTTTGCCTCCATTGAATTTCACCTTGCATATCTGTAAATAAACACAAATATTATGGAACCAACTTGGCTTCTCATGACTCCTTCCACAGGAAATGAAGTCCAGGTAAGCACTCCACCCCTGAAGCTTCATACCACTTGAGGAGCTGTATGCAGAATACTTATTCTAATGAAATGTACAAGTAGACCTTAATAGAGGTTGCTGGAGATTTCAGACTGGGTGCTTATAGATAGTTTGTTGACAAATGCCATGTTTCCCTGAAAATAAGACAGAGTCTTATATTAATTTTTGCTCCAGAAAATGCATTAGGGCTTATTTTCAAGGGATGTTTTATTTTTTGTATGCACAGCAATCTACTTTTATTCAAATACAGTCCTGTCATCTTCTTCTGGTTGTTGCACAAGGGTGGAGGGTGGGGTTTCTCTTAACTGGGGCTTATTTTTGGGATAGGAGTTATATTACGAGCAACCTGAAAAATCATAGAGTACTAGGGTTTATTTTCAGGTTAGGTCTTATTTTTGGGGAAACAGGGTAGAATCATTCGGGACAGGTAGAGTTTAATCACTAGCTGGTGAGCAGAAAAACATATATAAAACTATTGTTATCATTCTAGTAAAATGCAAAGCATGTTGCTTATATACCACTCTATAGTGCTTGATATGAAGTTCTATACAGTAATTATGTAGTCAACAAAATAATGTGAAACAGATTGTCCTGATCATGGAGCATTTCCAGCATTATTTGTTAATGTAGTTGCACCCTAAGTGGCTTAAAGGCTGTTTATTGCACTGGTCGAGAAACCTACCCACACATGAGCATATAAGTATAGAATCCAAAGTAGTAACCACTGTGCCCTAGATCAGCCTCCCACAACCTGGTGTCCTTCAGATGTGTCGGAATACAATCCATACTGCCCATAATGTGAAAGAATCTAATGGTTTAAAAACTGTCTTTCAGGTATGCAGCTTCTCCTGCGTGGTTTGTTGCTTTGCAGATGACAGAGGCCACGATCACCCAAGAGTTGCAAAACCCAGTGTGGTGGACCTGGCTGGGAGTCAGCTGCAGTCCAGAACTAGAGTTGTTGGGGAGAGCCTCAAAGAGTCCACAAACATCTCAGGGATGTCTAAGCTACACCTCAGCCTTGGCAGATGGCAGGCATAGGCACGTCCCCTACTGAGACTCCAAACCTACTCAGGTGCTGTAGCAACACTAAGGCATCCATGGCGGCATGCCATGATGAGAGTCTCAACACTTTGCACTGTGCCCATCAAGGTAAGAACATCCAGAATAAACTCTGCATCAATGAAGACCTCAAGGACATCCTGCTGAAGGAATACCAAGAGGAAATCAAGAAGCTCGAGGCTATTCTGTTACAGCAGATGAACATCAGTAACTTGCAAGGTCGTGTCCTTTCCAACATCTACTGGACCACTGCCTGAGGTCTGGTTACCTGTGTCTTTTGTTGTTGGTATCAGTCATGATATTAATTTGTACCTCCAATAAGGAGAACTGTTGAAATTTTGATTAAATCCCATATTATCAAGCTTATATCAAAGTAGCTTCTTTCTCATTAGCTCCCAGGGTTGTTTCGTGTTGCCAGTTTTGACTGTTAAAAGTCCTAAGTGTCTTCGGACCAAAATACCTAAAGCATTAGTTCCTCTCATATGAGCCTTAGGGGGAAAATTACAGATTTGGGATGCAGTTTTGGGGGGGAACATTCTGAGGAAGGAATAGCTAAACACCCCTTTGCTCCATGCCACGGTTCCAGTTCTCTTTGGATGGGGGCACAGCTGCTCTCTCTCTCGCTCTCTCTCGCTCTCGCTCGGGGGCACAGCTGCTCTCTCATTTTTAAGTTCTCAAAGGTAGAAACTTGGGAGTTTTGAAACCAAAGAAAAGTGGGAGGGAAGAAGCTATCCATTCCTTAAAATTAAGTATTTAGGGCGCCTGCATCCAGTTTATGCTGGCCTAACTACACTGACTGGATTGTGCTGACTGTATTCTCTACAGCCTAGATAGTGCAGCTAACTCAGCCCTAACCCTTGTTTACTCAGAAGTACCCTCCGTAAACTGACTGCTAAGTGTGCTCAGGTTGGCCACTCTTGTGTCCCTAATGTCCGTGGGATCTGCTTGTTTCAGCAACATGGTTTTATTTATGCAATTACCTGCAATAAAATTTTAAAGTTGGTTTTTAAATGCCCTGTACATTTGCAACGACAGGGCTGTGGTAAGACAGGGACGATGTCGTCTTCCTGCCTTGTGGGGCATGCGAACGAAGCCACTCCCTGTAGGCTACAGGAAACCATTACACACACACACATGAAAGCGGATATGTGTGTGTGTGTTACCTGCGCTTTGTCCTCCTCCATGAACTGAATTCATTTAAACAAGCAAAACGCTTCATCTTTCTCATTGGCACCCACCTGCTAGGGAAATGGAAAGAAGAACAAGACAGGGAGCAGATCTGGGAGCAAAATAACCAGGTAACGCAGGAATATCATCTCACTGTGATGAGGATGCAGGTAAATATCATTATTCATCTAACCACCTCCTTTTTGCAGTGGACCTGAATCAGCTTGATCGCCCTCCCTCTCTTTCTTTGTGCATCAGTGAGCAAGAGTCCTAGATCCGGCTCTTAGCTTGTGAAAGTAACTTTATTGGACTGCAACTCCGAGCGTCCCCCAAGCAGCATGGCTACTGGCCAAAAAGTAACATTTCCAAGCTCTAGTTCAGCTGCTATCTTCCATTCTGGGTACAGGATAGGGGTTCCCAAGCAGATTTTATGTGGAGGATTCATTGAAAGACAGGCTGTGCAAAATGGGTAATTAAGTCCAGAAGAAAATGCAGAAGGGTTACGTTGGAGATGGGATTCTGGGTCAGACCCAGTTGAATAGGAATAGGGAACCCGAGCCTCCCTCCAGATGTTGTAGGACTGCAGCTGTCATTGTCCCAAGAGTCAAGATGGTGGGAGCTGCAGTTTGGTATTTTTGGCCTCTCTGTAGCCACTCAACCAACTACTCTTGCTCACCCTGGGGTGGGGAAGCACAGAGAGAGTCAGATCTGGTGAAGGCTGTAGAAGTGGAATGAACTGTATCAGTCCCAAGTCTCCCAGACTTCATGATGCTCTACCGAGTCTAACACAAAAGGAAACCTCCAAATCTAAGTGACTCAGAGACAGCATGTCAACCTTGTAGGTAGCTGCCACCAGTCCCACACACAAATACTTAAAAACAATCCCAGTAGCTGACTGAGGCAAGGACTGGTTTTAGTACCACAAACCCTCTCAGTCAAAAATCCAGATAGCTGCTTGAAAGAGTTTTTGCAGTTTAT